CCCTTCTCCGCTCTACTTTGGAGTTCTTGCCAAGGACTCCACAGTAGAGAAAGAACGGAGGGGGTTTCACCCATGCTGTCTGGTTAACCTCGTGGCGGGGCACAACGAGGATAGTGCACGTCGGACACTATTACCAACGTTCTCTGATCAGCAGCACAGGGACACAAGTGCACGTACAGTGAAGCACCCATAGGGAGACACATCTCAAAGAACCATTGTTACTGCACAAGGTGAGTAACTTCCTCTTTCCAGGTCCCATTATCAACTGCCTGAGCTATACAGACCCACTAAACAGGGATATACATGTCCAGTACAGTCTCTTCTGAGGCTGGTTGACTAGAGGATAGCTGAGGAGACACTGCTCATGAAGCTGATTTTTTTTAACAATGTTAAAATCTTTTTCATTAATCTAGTAGTATGATCTGGAAAGTGTCTGTCTAGTACAGAGGTAGGCAACCTTTCAGAAGTGGTGTGCTGAGTCGTCATTTATTCACTCTAATTTAAGGTTTCGCGTGCCGGTAATACATTTTAATGTTTTTAGAAGGTCTCTTTCTATAAGTCTATATTATATAACTAAACTATTGTATGTAAAGTAAACAAGGTTTTCAAAATGTCTAAGAAGCATCATTTAAAATTAAATTAAAATGCTGATCTTACGCCACCAGCCTGCTCAGCTCGCTGCCAGCCTGTGGTTCTGTTCACCTAGGCCGGCAGCGGGCTGAGCAGGGCCTAATGGCCGGGACCCCAGACCTGGCGGGGGGGGGGGTTTCAGGGGGTAGGGCGGAGGGCTGGGGGGGGGGGGGCTGGGGGGAGGAGGGTGGGGGGGGGGGGGGGGGGGGTTCAGGGATCAGGGCAGAGGGCTGGGGTGTGTGGGGGGTGTAGGGCAGAGGGCTGGGTGTGGGGGGGGTTCAAGGGTCAGGGCAGAGGGCTGGGAGTGTGGGAGGGGTGCAGGGCAGAAGGCTGTGTGTTGGGGTGTGGGGGGTTCAGGGCAGAGGGATGGGGCTGTGGGGGAGCAGGGCAGAGGGATGGGTGTGTGTTGGGGTGGGGGGGTTTAGGGCAGAAGGGTGGGTGGTGCGGGGCAGAAGGCAGGGGGCTGGAAGGGATATGCCCTGTTCCATCCCCTTCCCCCAGGCTCTGTCCCTACCTCTCTCTGCCTCCTCTACGGAGCTGTGTGCACGCTGCCACTCTTCCCCCTCCCCCTCGCTAGGGCCATCAGCTGATTGGCCAGGGAAGGAGAGGAGGCGGGGAAGGAGGGAAGCTTGGCTGCTGCAGAACCAAGCTTCTACCTCCTGTCCCTGCAGAGGAGAGCAGTGGGCGGGGGGGCTGAGTGGGGCTGGGGGCTGGGACCGCGGCAGGGAGCTGCGTGCCCCTCAGAATCGGCTCGCGTGCCATGTTTGGCACACGTGCCGTAGGTTGCCGACCCCTGGTCTAGTATAATCTAGTGCAGCGGTTCTCAAACTGTGTGTCAGGACCCCAAAGGAGGTCATGACCCTCTTTGAATGGGGTCACCAGGGCTGGCTTAGACTTGCTGGGGCCCAGGGCTGAAGCCAAGCCTCACTAGTGAGGGCCAAAGCCCGAGGACTTCGGCCCTGGGCAGCAGGACTCAGGTTGCAGGCCCCGGCCTGGGGCTGAAGCCCTTGAGTTTCAGCTTTGGCCCCCCTGCCCGGAGCGGTGGGACTTGGGCTTTGGCGGGCTCAGGCTTCGGTCCCCCGTCCCGGGGTCGTGAAGTAATTTTTGTTGTCAGAAGGAAGTCGTGGTGCAATGAAGTTTGAGAACCCCTGATCTAGTGCATCAAATGGTTTCATACCATGCCCCTCACCATACTGATTCCATTCCAGTATCCATTATAACTAGTTTATAGTTTTGATTGTGCTACTTACAGAATTTCATGATTATTTATTACATACTGCACACCACCAATAATTCAATTTTTATTTTTGTATAATTTCAACAGATAAAATCTGTTTATTGTAAAGCATTTTTATCTATTTAAATTTTCACAATTACGCATAATTATGGGTTTAAAGTATTTTTGGTTATCAATTTAAATATTCGCAGTTGCAGGAAATTGAGGGTCAGACAATAATTATTTAATGTCAGTAGATGTTGAGATTCAAAAAGATAAAGCTTTATAAACCACTAAAACACAAATTTTATATTTTTCCTAGCGCTGTCGATTAATCGCAGTTAACTCACGCGACTAATTAAAAAATTGCGCCTAATGGCAGTTTTAATTGCACTGTTAAAAAGTAGAACAATTGAAATTTATTAAATATTTTGGATGTTTTTTCTACATTTTCAAATATATTGACTTCAATTACAACACAGAATACAAAGTGTACAGTACTCACTTTATATTATTTTTATAACAAATATTTGCACTGTAAAAATCATAAACAAAAGAAATAGTATTTTTCAATTCACCTCATACAAGTACCGTAGTGTAATCCCTTTATCGTGAAAGCGCAACTTGCAAATGTAGATTTTTTTGTTGTTACATAACTGCACTCAAAAACAAAATAATGTAAAACTTTAGAGTCTACAAGTTCATTCAGTCCTATTTCTTGTTCAGCCAATCGCTAAGAGAAACAAGTTTATTTACATTTACGGGAGATAATGCTGCCCGCTTCTTATTTACAATGTCACCTGAAAGTGAGAACAGATTTTCGCATGACACTTTTGTAGCTGGCATTGTAAGGTATTTACATGCCAGATATACTAAACATTCGTATGCCCCTTCATGCTTAGACCACCATTCCAGAGGACATGCTTCCATGCTGATGACGCTTGTTTAAAAAAAAAAAAGTGTTAATTAAATTTGTGACTGAACTCCTTGGGGGAGAATTGTAAGTCTCCTGCTATGTGTTTTACCTGCATTCTGCCATATATTTCATGTTATAGCAGTCTCGGATAATGACTCAGCACGTTGTTCCTTTTAAGAACACTTTCACTGCAGATTTGTTAAAATGCAAAGAAGGTACCAATGTGAGGTTTCTAAAGATAGCTACAGCACTTGACACAAGATTTAAGAATCTGAAGTGCCTTCCAAAATCTGAGAGGGACGAGGTATGGAGCATGCTTTCAGACGTCTTAAAAGAGCAACACTCCGATGCAGAAACTACAGAACCTGAACCACCAAAAAAGAAAATCAACCTTCTGCTGATGGCATCAGACTCAGATTATGAAAATGAACATGCGTTGGTCTGCACTGCTTTGGATCGTTATTGAGCAGAACCCATCATCAGCATGGACGCATGTCCTCTGGAATGGTGGTTGAAGCATGAAGTGACATATGAATCTTTAGTGTATCTGGCATGTAAATATCTTGCAACGCCAGCTACAACAGTGCCATGCGAATGCCTGTTCTCACTTTCAGGTGACATTGTAAACAAAAAGTGGGCAGCATTATCTCCTACAAATGTAAACAAACTTGTTGTCTGAGCGATTGGCTGAACAAGAAGTAGGACTGAGTGAACTTGTAGGTTGTAAAGTTTTACATTGTTTTATTTTTTAATGCAGTTATTTTTTGTACATAATTTTACATTTGTAAGTTGAACTTCCATGATAGAGATTGCACTGTAAAAATAAAATAAATAATATTTTTCAATTCACTTAATACAAGTACTGTAGTGCAAATATTTATAATAAAAATAAATATAAAGTGAGCACTGTACACTTTGTATTCTGTGTTGTAATTGAAATCAATATATTTGAAAATGTGGAAAATATCCAAAAATATTTATTTAAATAGTATTCTATTATTGTTTAACAGCGCGATTAATTTTTTTAATTGCTTGACAGCCCTAATTTTTAAATGTGAAGCTGACAAAGTAAATAGCCTAAAATCAAAAGATCATACCTATATTTACTATTCATTCGCTAGTCCATTTGTAAAATGCCTAATTCAAAAGTCTAAATCACCAGATTTTGACTGTAGTAAGTTCTTGAGCAGCATTTTTTTTACTTTGCCTGTCTGTAAATTTCATTTATCATCTATGGAAATATATTTTCATTAATTTGTGTGTATATAGTGAAATAAACATTATCTACATTTACCAATAAAAATTTAATCCTTCTAAATCTATTTATGGGCATTCCAGATACTGAATTTAGTTGCAAAGAATCAGTTGAGGGTTGCAGTCTGAGAATTTCTGATGACCATACTTTATTAAAATTTCCACTTTCTCCAATGTCCATTTTCTCTCATTCCAATCATTCTCAGTTCTTAATTGTAGCCCTATTTTCCAGGGTATCGAAATCTGTTCAGCAATGCTTTATTGTCATATAGGAATTCATTAAACCTGGAACAACTGCCAGATTGGTCTCATGTTTTTAAATGCTAAGATCCCTGAGAGGGAAGATATGGGTGCTTACGCTCTTTCCAGCCTCCCAGTCATGGTGTGCAATTTTGGGTTTTTTTGTTTGGTGTTTTACAGAGTTTCCTTTTAGAGCTGGCATTTTTAGCACTGCATGGTGGCTCAGCCAGCACTGCTGAAATACAGCCTATTTCTTCCTTGAATTCTGGTCCCTATGTTTATTCACTGTTGGTACACATGTGCTCCATATGCCTGAAACTGGATATTTCTAGCAAGTAGCATCTATTGCTCAACACCTCTGCAGTTGCTTTCCTCGTGGTCCATACCGAAGCTATAAGGGGCGGTGCAGACTGATGCCTCTCCAAGTCCTTTTTTACCACCACATGGCCTTAGTAGGAATCCTCCAGTGTCCAGAACTGATCCTCATAGGCATTCTTTTCTGTAAATATTTAAAAGTTTTATGTTGTTAGTTATCGTTAGATAAGTAATTTTTAAGTTAGAATCTCCATCCTGAGAAATCCTCTGTCAGTGCAGGACCTAGATTATGACCAGGCTCCCAGGCTTTAAGAATTGCCTTTCCTTCCCCCACTCCTTTTTGATCAGCGACAACCACCAGTGCTGCCTTTACTGCCTTGAAGAATCTTATATCTCCAGTAAGTGCAGTGTCTACTGCTCTTTTCTCAGACAAACATGGCAGGCGCAAGAACTCCAACTTCAGAAGCACCTAATGGAGCACACTGTGAGGCCTCAATCAGATCCAGGCAAGGTGATCCATCCCTTCTTCCATTCCTTGTAGGCATTTTGCTTTCTCTTAATAATCTGTTTGAGATGCTTGTTCATCCATTTTGGTCTGCAGCCCTTCCCTAAAATGTTTTCCCCTTTGCTTGGGTTTCATAGTTTCATAGCAATCAGGCAAACTTCCTACCGGTTTTCTATCTGAAGCCACATGCAAATAAGGAAGGGCAGCTTCTTCACTCATTGAATGTTAGATGAGCCCTAGTGTTCTACATAGAAAGGACTAGATCATTTGTAAATTCACCCAACTGTTCATAGCAGTAGCTGACAGGATAAAGGGTCTCCCTCTCTCTGCTCAGAGAATTTCATCCTGGATCATATGTGTTAGGATCAGGCGGGTTTTCCGCCACCAACTAACCTAACTGCTCACTCCACAAGGTCACAAACATCATCAGTGGCATTCCTAGCACAAATCCCTATTCAGGCATTTGCAGAGCAGAGATTTGGTCATCAGTACACACATTCTCTTCTCATTATGCCATCACTCAACAGTCCAGGGACGATGTTGCAGTCAGCATGTCCATAAACTTTGATCTTACCACCTATGCAACTGCTTGAGGGAGTCTCCTACAGTGGAATGCACATGTGCAGTCATTCAAAGAAGAAAAAACTGTTATTAACCTTCCGTAAATGTTGTTCTTTAAGATGTGTTGCACATGTCCATTCTATGACCTGCCTTCTTCTCCCTCTACATCGGAGCTAACCAAAAAAGAAGGAACTGAGGGTGGTGCAGGGTCAGCTGGGGGCTCGAGCCACCCCAACAGATACCACTGAGGGAAAATTTTCTGGCGACTGTGCTCGGGATGTGCATACACCTACAACACATCTCAAAGAACAACAGTTACGAAGGTTAGTAACTGTTTTTTCTAGGGAAGTCAAGGCCATTCTCCAGCAGCACTGCTTTCCTTCTTTCTTGGACAGACCACCTAAACTATGCATTTCTACCTGTCCCACCGCTTCCTTGAGTATTACAGAAGTTGAGGTGATAAAGCATGAGTCAATTTCATCATGCCCAGATGGACCAGGAGGTTCTAGTTTCCAGTTCTCCTGCACATGTCAGCCTGACCATCAGTTGGCATTAATTCCTTTCCAGACCTCTTGACTCAAGAAAAAGGCAAGATCCGACATCCCAACCCAGAATTCATCATCTCACAGGTTGGTATTTGGATGGGCATCGGATCTAGAATGTTCTTGTTCCCAGAATGTGCAAGTCATCCTTATTAATAGTAGAGTGGACTCTGTGATAAATGAAGGGGGGAAGTAGCTCCCATTTATGGATACCCAGCCAGCGAGTTAGCTATAAAGTCCCTCTTGGTGGCTATTCTCTGTTTGCTTTACCTGTAAAGGGTAAAAAAGTCTCCCTGGCTAGGTAAAAGAAAGGGACTGGGTACCTGATCAAAAGAGCCAATGGGAGGGCAGGAACTTTTTAAAATGGGGGGGGGATTCCCTTTGTCTGTTGTTCTCCGGAGAGAGGGGACAGAGCAGGACAGGGCTGAAGCTATGCTGTGAAAAGCTTTAAAACCAGGTATGAAAAAGCATCAAATCATACCTCAACCCTACTTATCTGAAACCCCAAATATGTAAGTAATCAGGGAATGTCCAGGAAGATGCGATTAGGGTTATTTCTTTTATTTCTTATTGGCTTGTGGACTCCTCTGTGCAGGGGGGAGGGATAGCTCTGTGGTTTGAGCATTGGCCTGCTAAACCCAGGGTTGTGAGTTCAATCCTTGAGGGGGCCACTTAGGGATCTGGGGCAAAATCAGTACTTAGTCCTGCTAGTGAAGGCAGGGGGCTGGACTCAATGACCTTTCAAGGTCCCTTCCAGTTCTAGGAGATGGGATATCTCCATTAATTAATTAATATAAAAAATTTAATAAATCCCAGATGGCTTTTTTTGGTTGTAACATTTAAGCTAAACCTCAAGAGAGCTATCTTAATGCTGAATTTTTGTAATTGCTTTTTTTTTTTTAAATCTAGCAAAAGCCTAAGTTCCAGATGTATTTTCTTTCTTTTTGTTTTTAATAAAATTTACCTTTTTTAAGAACAGGATTGGATTTTGGTGTCCTAAGAGGTTTGTGCATGTTGTTTAATTAGCTGGGGGCAACAGCTAATTTCCTTTGTTTTCTTTCTGAGCTCTTCCCTGGAGGGGGGGTGGAATGGGCTTGCGGGTACCTCACAGGAAGGAATTCCCAAGTGAGCCTTCCTGGGTTCCAAGGAGTTTTTTTGCACGTGGGTGGTGACAGCATCTACCCATCCAAGCTCAGAGAGAAACTGTGACCTTGGGAGTTTAATACCAGCTTGGAGTGGCCAGTATTAATTTTTAGAATCCTTCCGGGCCCCCACCTTCTGCACTCGAAGTGCCAGAGTGGGGAATCAGTCTTAACAGACTCGATGAGAAAATGTTGTCTCGTCAAGTGGAAGCACTTCTCTATCTGGGCCCAGCAGCTCTGTGAGTCTCCTGACTCAACAAGTATACCTGATATCTCACTTTACCTTCTTATGCTCAAGAAGTTTGACCTTTCCCTTAGCTTCATACAGGTTCACCTAACAGCAATCAGCACATCACCCTCCATCAGACAGCTACACTGCCTTATTCACCCAATCACCTCCAAGTTTTTAAAGGGTTTTAATTAGAACTTTCCCATGAGTAATAAAACCAACCCCGCAATGGGATCTTAATTTAGTGCTTCCAACAGTCACTGTGCCACCCTTTTAACTTGATGCTTTACCAATCTATGAAGATTCCCTATCTTGCTGCTATCATCTCAGCCAGACAAATAAGTGAGTTAGGGGCCCTAATGGCAGACCTTCCTTATACTACATTTCATAAAGACAAGATCTCACTACAACTACACTTGAAATTCACCCTTAAATCAGTTTAGGAATTTCACATAAACCAGAATATGCACTTACCTGTGTTCTTTCTGAAGGCCCACACATCCCTCAAAGTAAGGAAACTTCATCTCCATGATGTGAGACAAGCTGTAGCCTTTTACCTACAGAGAACAGAACAAATCAGTCACCTAGGCTGACTCTGGCAATAAGTAGAACGAGTCCAAAGACAAGCTATTTCCTCCCAGAGGATCTCAAAGTGGATCTCTGGCTGCATTCTACGTTGTTATCTATTGTCTTATCACACACAGGGTATGGGCTCACTCTACAAGAGCAAAGGCAGCCTTAGTACCATTACTCCAACAAGTACATCTGCTTGACATTTGCCAGGCAGTGATGTAGAGTTCCAACCACACATTCATGAGACATTATGCCTTGGTTCAAGCCTTCTCTGCTGACACATCCTTTGGGATAGCGGTTCTGCAAGCAGCCATACCAGCTGCATCCTCGCATCCTCCTTTTCTCTGAGTACTGCTTGTCAGTCACTCTCAGTGGAATACACACAGAGACCAGCACTCAAAGAAACAAGGGGATGTAAGTAGTCTTCATAACTGGAGTTCTTCAAGATGTGTGGTCCCTATCTGTATTCCACTACCTGCCCTCATTCCCCTCTACTTCGGATCCTCTCTGATCTGCAGTAAGAGGAACTGGAGAGGTGTCAGTCTGCACCATCCTTTATGCCCTCAGTCTGGAACGCGAGGGGAACAACTACGTAGGCGCAGACAGACACTACTTGCTAGAAATCTCCAGTCTCCAACACATCAGCGCACAGTGGAATACAGATAGGGACTACAGATCTTGAAGAATCTACAGATTTCCAGTTATGAAGGGTAAGTAACTTCCCTTTTCTAAACATTTGTGTTTCCGAATAAATTCTATTACTACATTATGATGTTACTATAGAAAATATTGATTGGAAAACTAATCAAATCCCTTACTAAGAGTGGATTTACAATGAATGCCAAATAAAGGCATAGCTACAGAAGGCTACACTTGAAAAGGACAGATTTTGTTCTGAGCTGCAGGAGTGTATCTCCACTGACTCTGGGACAAAGTGTTGCATTTTTCTCAAAAGCAGTTTGTAATAACCTCAGTATCCAGTCTGCCCACTACCCTTACCCATTATCATTGCAGGTTAATTTTGTTGCAGCTATTGATGTATATGAAGATGGTGAAGCTGGTCTACTGTTGTGTTATAACTGTAAGTGTTGTTTTATTTGATCCGGGCAATAGCAAAGGATGTTTAAAAACATTAATTATATCAGTCTGCTTGTATCAATCCTGTTTATCTGTGGGATATGATTCTACATATTGCTAAGTTAGCAGTTTTTCAATATAATTTTCATTATTGTTTTATGACAAGCTGTGCAGAATGTAGAAACATCAGCTACCTGCTTCTATTTTCAGGTGTACAAATGAAATTCCCCAATTTTGGAGAACCACCTCTGGTGTTAATTACTCACCAAAATGTCAGCTCTGAGGTATCCATTATTATAATCGCCTTTCTTTCTTATATGACCCCATTACCAAAGTGTCTGAGCCCCTCACAATCTTTAATGAACCATCCAGTGATTAGGACTCTTGCCTGAGACTTTGATGCAATTCCTTGCTCTACCACAGACTTCCTGTGTAACCTTGGGCAAAACAATTAGGCCCCAACTTTTCAAAAGTATTTAGGCAGTGCTGTGCTCTGCACTGCAATGCCTACCTGATTTAGGAGCCTAAGTGTCATTTTCAAAAAGGGTTCAGGTACTTATGAGCCTAATCTCATTGACAGTCAATGGAATTTAGGCTCATAACTACCAAAATTCCTTTTGAAAATGAGACTTAGGGTCCTAAATTAGGTAGGCACTGCAACACTGAGTGAAGCAATGCTTAAATACCTTTAAGAAATTGGGCCTTAGTCTCTATGCCCAGTTCACCATCTGTAATGAATGTTATAGCATTTCTTGACAACACAGAGATGTTGTGAGGATAAATACATCAAAAATTGTGAGGTGCTCAAACATTACCGTAATGAAGTCCATATAAGTCCCTGTTAATACAAAAGGCTAGACATGTGAGGGAGTAATGGCATCCTTTCAGACAAAATTCAAGAGTTCAGTCCAAGTAAATAGAGTAAATAAAAAGAATGGGGATTTGTAAGCTGGTTTTCAGTTTTACTAGAATCCCTGTTGTATCTACTACTCATAGAAAGATGGTGACTTTCTTTATTTCAGCTTTGACTTTGCAGATGTACTGATAATTTTTAAGCATATTATTCCTGGTTTTTATAATTCATAATTGAAAGAAATCCTGCAACTAGGGAAATAGATGGTGATTCATAGTTCACCTTGGATAATCACTGCAATAATTACTGCAATAATAATGTTCTTTGAGTAATCAATGAATCCAGATTTAAAAAGCCAGTCAGTGGAGTCCTGCCTCTCTTACTGGCTGACCTATGCTTTTATTCTTTCCTTTTTGCTTTTTAGTATTGGAAAATTACCAGTTTTATGATTAGAAGTAGATGCTGTAGAAGCACTTGCTGGTGGAAAAACATGCAGTGCATGAAAACCATGATAGAATTTGAGCCATTGTAAAAATAATACTGTAGTTCCTGAGAGACTGGGTGCACAAGTCATTTGATTAATAAAACCTCTGTGTCTAATATCCCCCAGGCCTCATATGGAAATTTCCCCTCTCTGTACATTTCAGTCTTTGGGGAGTGTGAACTGTGCTAACGTATGACTGCTTAAAGGGTGTTCTGTGGTGGCTGACAGATACTGTGACATTGATATCAACTTCAGAACATTTCTTGCCTGTCTCTCTAGCCACAGACAAGTAATGGAGGATTGGGAAACAAGCGAACACATGATTTCATAAAATATTAATGAATTGTAAAATTCTTACAATTGTAAAATAAATTATAAATAGCTTTGACATCAAAGTAGACACTTAAAATCGGATTTTACCACAGATGAGACACGATATAGTATATATTCTATATTACCCCTATTTTTCTCCCTTTAAAAATTGTAGTCAATAAATTCATATTCTTATGGTTTTAACAGCTGTACAGGAAGATATAATCCAATTTTCTAAGCCATTTTATTTAATATCAATTTGTGTCATTTTCTATGTGAGGTAACAGATGTTTTTTGTTACAGATGTCTGCTACTACAGAAAGGTATGCCCCTATAATGGGGGTTCTCCTTTGGTCCAGACATCGGCATCAGACTTCCACTTTAGTTGGAACCAGGTTCCTTATGCTATTGGTAAGAAAAGACTGTAGTAACCTAGTAGGATGGTTTAACATCTTCATTTGGTTTGGAATTGTACTTGGCCCCTACGGGAGAAGCAGTGGGTGTTACAGAAATGCAGCCATGTCACACTCAGTTTAGGGCTGTGCCAGTTCATCTAGATTTTTGCATTGACAGTTTAGAAAAACAAGGAACCTTTGGCAGATTCTTTCCATGCAGAAACAAAATTCTGAGATCATTGGCTTTTTTTTCTTGTTCTCCTCAGCCCATTCATTTCCTTCTATTTGCTCTATTTCTATTCATTTGCTCTATTTGAGAGATTCCATCTACATCCTACTAAACTTGGAGAGTCAGGCAGTCACACAGGCTTTATGCAGTTGGACATCCATGAGCATTTTAGAGGCTGTTTAAAAACTTCTAAAATATTTACACTAGAGAGCGGAGATGTTAGAGGAGGTCAGATTTTCAGGAAACTTCTAGAATCTTTTAAAAGCTCTAGGTTCTTTTGTAAAACATCTGACACAAATATATGTTCATAATTGTTCTCAGTAATAGCAGCCCTTGTTCCCTTGCAGTTTGTGCTTTCCCTTATATCCTGGCCTTCACTACTGATTCCATAGAGATACGATTAGTGGTGAATGGGAACCTAGTCCACACAGCTGTGGTGCCTGAACTTCAACTTGTTGCATCAAGGGTAAGACATAGGAAAACTGTATTGGGCCCCTGTGTGAGGTCTCATTACAATGTGTATGTGCAGTTCCTGGTAACACAGACTTCTGGGTGTGCAAGCATAGAATGGAGACAATCACCTTCAGAATAGTCTATTAAAATCACAAAAATAGTTGATCCTACATGAGCAAGTTAGGTTGCAGATTATTTATGTAATTTGAAACAGTGTATATATAGATGTATGATCTTAAAGAAGCACAGGACTGCACATTTTATTGGCTGCAGTGACCATACATATTCCTTTTTTGAGTATAAATCTCAAATCCAAGCGCAGCACTATCATTTATAGGAGTACTTGTAGCACCTTAGAGACTAACACATTTATTTGAGCATAAGCTTTCGTGGGCTACAGCCCGCTTCATC